TTTTCTTTCTCCAAAAGACATTTTAAAAACTTAGTTTTTAAGGATATATTAGGAGGAGAGACGCATGGAGACTTAGAAGGGAATAGGAGATTCGAAAATTGAGTAGAAATGTTTGGTGGCAGCAGACAGGGAAGATGTTGTTGAAGGGGAAAAGAGGAAGATTGTTAAAAAGAAAGAGTGAAGAAGAGATATGGTTATGACTGAGGGAACAAGGGGCGAACAAGATGCGTAAAGCGTATGCACGAAAATCAGATTATTCTGGAGGAGCGAGAAAAGAGAACAGTGGGAAAAGTAGGAAGTATAAGGGAGTGAAATGGGCCCCACCTCGCCCATTTCCGTGAGGTCCTGCCTCTCCACAAGGGAGCTACGACCCCTCCGAGGCCCCATAGGGGACCATGTTTTTTTGTTTTTTTTTTGAGGAAAACCCCCGAGTCCTGCGGCTTTCGCGCACAGGACTAGGGGGGAAAACCTCAGGAAGGGAAGGAAGTCGGGTCGAGGGACAAGAAAAACGCACAAGGGGGTAAGGTGAAGTTAAACGCGAAGAAGCTAATATGAGTTAAACGCGAAAGGGACAAGTTAAACGCGAAAGGTCTGCCCTTAGTCAAGATTCACCGCAACGAAAGACCGCGGGCGTAGCACCCGGCGGTACCCTTGCGGGCACGCCGGGACATCCCGAAGGACGATATTTAACGCTACAACCTCCGTCCCTTCCCACGGGCGAGCCCAGTGGGTTAGACGTAAGGAACCACGCCCGCCGCCGGCGGCGGGCCCCGTTAGCCATCGATCCACGCGCAAAATGTCTCCGACAGAGGGTGACTTTATACTAGCGGGTGCTCAATAGCACCCGCACCTACCCCAAGTGAAGTGACCCCCAAGCACAAGCACAAGTAGGACTTTACCCAAAGTCAACGGACTACCCCTCCGACCTCCCCACGGACAAATAGGATCGTCTCTACCCACACAAGTGCCCAAGGGTCAAGACATGTTGGGACGTTTTTAGCAAAGCGAACAAATTATACTAAATACGCGAGAGCTAGACACCTGGCTAGATTCACTATACGAAAGACCATGGCCGTAGATACCCTAAGGGGGCTCAAGGCCCCCGTCGGGAGACCCATAAGGTCCTGTTGCGGCCACAACTTGGGCCACCAACCACTGAGCAAGCTCAGCGGAAGAGGCGGAAGGGCAACCCCCGACACCATGGTCTTAAGTCTAGCTGCACTAACCGGATGACTACTCTTATATGACTACTCGAATTAATATGCTCGACCCGACAAAGGAAATAGGAAAAGTAAGACAAATACAATGAAAAGTGAGAGGGAAAAAAGCGAAACGAGAAGAAAGAAATAAGGATAGAAATAAAGAAGCGAAGAAGTAGAAAAGTAAGGAATAGAGTTATGAAAGTTGAGAAGAAATAAGGAAAGCGATTAATAAGAAAGTGAAGAATAAAAAATAAGGAAATAAGGAATTAATGAAGAAATAAATATAGAAGAAGAAGAAAGTTGGAAATGGATATAGAAATAAAGAAGTGAGAATAAGATAATAAGAAAGAAATGATAAATGTGAATATAAGAAAGAAATGAATATAGAAATGAAGTGAAGAAGTAGAAAAGTGAGGAATAGAATTATGAAAGTTGAGAAGAAATAAGGAAAGAGATAAATAAGAAAGTAAAGAATGAAATATAACGAAAGAAGGAAGTAAAGAAGAAATAAATATAGAAAGACAAGAAGGTTGCAAAGAGATAATTGAAATGATTCCAAGAGACCAGTATAGGAGACCGGCTCGAGGAAGAATGAATGAGCGCTCGGAGTCCGGGCACTGCCTCGAGCGCTCCCCCCACCAACCGCCTGCTCCGCTCGCCGAGTCCTGCGCGACGAACGTGCGCGCACACAATTTTGGGCAACTTCCAGTATTTCTAAATATGTTTGGCCAGAATTTCTGATTTCTATGTGCTAATATTTTACTTTATTGCTTTAATTAATTATTTTAATGTTCCACACGTCTAATTTATTAATATTTCAATTTGAGCGTAATTTATTTACGATATTCTATAATTTCAATTCAATTTTTATCTACTCCGTATTTTCTGCGAGATTTTGATTTAGCCTCGATTTTATATTTTGAATAAAATTTGAAAGTAAATCAAGATCCAATAATATTTAATAAAAATTGAGGTGCTATACGGGTGTCAAGTAGGCACCACGCTTTCTTAAAAATGTCTTAAAGATCTTTCAACAATAGGCTTTTTCAGTAGTTCTTGAGAAGTTCTATAGTTACTAGCCTAGTTCTAAGTGTTGCTTTGGGAATTAGCGGTAAGCAGCGGAGAACCTCTGCGATGGGATGTGTTCACGATGGGATTTGCATTGTCGACGGAGCCGATGATCACAAAATCCAACTTCCAGACTCGCCGCTACGATTTAGCGCCATAGATTGTGGTATCGCCTAAAACCTTAGCGTTGTGCATCTCCCTGCTCATCTCTGTAGTGTACGATCTCTGTGTTTTTCAGGCCCGTATAAAGACGTCCGACGTCCCAAACCAGGAATTTTCGTAATTTTTTAGACGCGGTGCATTTTTTGGCGCTAGATTATTTTTCCGCGCCCCAGATTTTTGTTGGAACTAGAACTAGTCTGACAGAGCCATCTCGCGGAATTATGACGAACTAACGAAAAGTCCTCGCAAAAACGAGTTAACGAGTCGACTGCTTTATTTATCATGGAAGTCAGAAGCAAAGTGTAAGATAGATTAAAAAATGAAGGAAAGAGCAGAATGGAGATGATGGATATGTATACATCATCATATAGAACTGCTGCTGGTGCCACCTTGTAGCATCTCTCACATTTACACTAACGTCAGCTGCCTTACCTGCTGTCATAGATCCGAAGCCTAACGTGTCGTGAGCGACAATGAGCTGCCGGCCCTGAACGATGCAGTGACGACAGCTGCGCCTGCGCAGAAGCACACTCAGTTTTAACCTAAGTCTTAACGTTAATGCGGAACTCTGACACATAACTCTTCTTCTTTCTGCATCCTGCCACAAAGAACTGCCAGGATGCTTTTCTTTTTCTTTCACTCGATTAAACTCAGATACGAGCGAGCTACGTACAAAGAACACAAATTACACACAATTAAAATAAGGAATAAAACCATGCAGGTAACGCTTTACATTTTTCACGTAAATACAAAGTCAACTGAACACTTGCTACGTGTAATGTTTTCATGCCCAATGCAAATGAGTTTCCCACCACAGATATTTCATAAATTCCGCATAAAACCAGCTGTGCTATTCAATCGGTATATATATTTTCCATTGATTCTACTGTATCGAGTATAATTACATTATTAATAATGACTGCTAACAATCCGATAAAGATCCCATTTAAATAGCCCTTTGATGTAATTCCATTTAATTTGAGCTGCACTGTAAAAATTCTTAAGAATTTCTTCCCCGGCATTGTTATCCCACCTGCCATTATACAGCTCTAACCCTTTGCCGGAAGGAAACTAACGATCGAAGCTTCCGCGATACCAAACGAAAACTGCTGGTAATTCTCTGAACATTATGTAAGTGTGCTTCAACGTGTTCGCATAAGCGATATCGCGTGACAAGTAAGACTGCGGCTATTTTTATTCGTCTCCATTTTTTTCTTCTTACATTGTACTTATGCAACGTGCCTTGTTACAGTTAATACGGGAAAACAGTGGAATTAAAAATTAAATTAAATAAAGACTGTTCTTTTAATCTTCCTGTCAATTAATTTGAATATATATATATATATATTTAATACATACAATGTATACCCTTCGGTATATTTACTTTGAGTCTTTATTCAGTAACGATGCTCAGTAAAATACATTACTATACATAATAACATGTACATTATAGATATATATACATATGTCCACAGTGTCGCGAATGGACATTGGATCTTCTAAATGATTCACGATCGACACTCGTGTTTACTTTGAGACGATACAAGAGATAGATATAAGAAAAATGCACGTGTTTGAATTAATATGGGGTTTTCCATAAAAACAAGACAAATATGTTTCAACGAAACCTTAATTAACTATTTAATTATCTTCTCGATTGGTTATCACCGCTACAGGCTAGATTTTTGGTCGAACTGCAAATCAACAATAACGTACCGCGTGGCGTAAAATTGATACTTTACATTAATCCCAGAAATAAGTACAGAGAGAGAGAGAGAGAGAGAGAGAGAGAGAGAGAGAGAGAGAGAGAAGAAAAAAGTAAAAGAGGGACGAACAAAAACAGAGATTATCAACTAGACTTAAAGGATATGACGTATCTACAATTTTCGGGATAAAAGAGTTAAAAATGTTGTCGAGGAATAAACCAAGCAACGTTACAATAAAACGTGATCACTTAATTCACAGTTGTGCCCGCAAACTGTCAAATTGTCTATCGCTTTTAAATATTGCAAAGTGCCATGGTGTTTGCATGATCTTATGATAATAAGAAAATTCACTGGTGTGACCATTATCCCCGTTTCAGACATAGCAGAGACAACGTTAATTAAAGAATAAGATTTAAGATAAGCAACAACGCAATAGGCCAGAGAAACATTGTGAAGGAACCCTTAAAGACTGATTAACTATTTAATACTAAATAAAACTACAGTTAAAATTTTACTGGCATCGACAATATCATTTCTTTCGTTTCGATTGTTATTCCTATACCTGCGCAAACTGGTCGTCCAATTGGTCGCGCGACTCCGTTCGCTTCGAAGAAGAGTTTGAGTATTGCCAAAAAAAAAAGACGAAAAAAGAAAAGAATTAATTGCAACTCCCATAGGGCGAGACGAGAAAGTAGATGAAAAGCGTTTGTCGAAAGAATACGATAAATAATTTGAAAAATATTCGTCAATTCCCAACTCTCCTCAGTACCAACTGTAAAAGGGTTGATGCGGAGCAGGTCTGGGTGGCTGTTGAAAACTCTGACTCGCGTAATGGCTGGTAAAAGCTTGATGGGTGTGAGCAGCATGAGGCGCATGCGTCTGTTGAAGGGTGGACGGTGGACTCGGAAGTGGTACCCTGCCACTTCCGGCAGAGATATGCAGATTCCAAGATGGCGATGACGAGCCAGCTTGGCTCTGCTGGCTGGAGGGTTGTTGTTGCTGCTGCTGTTGCTGCTGCTGCTGCTGCTGTTGAACGGGCGAGACCGAACTAATTGGCAATTCCGCAGTGTTGTTCAGCTGTTCCGACGAGGGATTGGAATTGCCGGAATTGGGACCCATCATCGTCACCAAGGAATTGGGCGTCGGTGGTAGCTGGTGACCGTTGCTCTGTTGGTAGCTGGACGATACAGGGGGAACTGGCGACGGTTGATGAGCCATGTGAGTACTGGATGAAGTTGGTGGCAGGAGGGATGCTGGATATGCAACCGACGTAGGAAGACTGTAAGTGGGTGTTGATCCAACCGAAGAAGCCAGTCTCGTCGAATCGGCCAGTTGGTGAGACATTGTCGTATGGTGGGACGAGTACAGTTCTGGAACTGAAAAATAATTTTTTTTTTTTTTTCTACAATCATGAACGTAACTAGTCCCAGTACATTTTCTTCTTCCTTATTGGCGACAACAATGGACAATGAACGTCACTCAATGAAACGTTAAATAATCGAAGAAGTTTAGCTTTCTTTGGCATGTCTTTTTGCTTCTTTCCTCATTTATAATAAAGTCCTGGCTAACCGAGCGTGTCTCATGTCACTGGGATTTTCCTCATTGAATCGAAATCCGTCAGAACCGGATATTGCGTGGATGACGCGGCACCCAACTCCGCGAGACACATTTGAAACAGTTCGATTGTTTCGAGTATCCCGGTCGAGAGCGACTTCCGTCGATTGTTGAAAACACACCTGACTGCCAACCGGTTCTATACACACGCAGGCCTCGCAACAGTTCTTTACAGTTGCATGGTACTTTTTCAGTTGGTCTAACGCTACCTCGTGTTCCAAAATCTCGTTTACTTTTTTTTCTTCATTTATATATATATATATATATATACATATACATTTATAGAAAACTCACCCTGGCTAGACGAGAAGGCCGCATCCGGCAGTGGCTGGCCGTGCGAATGAGGATGAGGATGGCTGGATGGTACCACTGCACCTGCATGTGGATGCGGCGCAGCTGGCGGATGGAGAACGTATGAGGCCGCAGGATATGCTACGGAACCAACGTAACCTCCTGAGGTGGTTGAGGACAGTTGTTTCCGTAAACGTGCCCGACGGTTGCTGAACCAGACCTGAATCCTGGCCTCGGTCAACTTCGTTCTTTGGGCCAGTTCCTCCCTGGTGTAGATGTCAGGGTACTGGGTCCTCTCGAAGGCTCTTTCCAATTCATCCAGTTGGTGGGCGGTGAAGGTCGTGCGACTGCGACGTTGCTTCCTCTTCAACGGTATTCCCGGTTCACTTTCGCAATCAGACCCAGAACTGGTTTTTCCTGTAATTATGCATAAAAAAAAAAAAAAACGTTTTTGAGTATCCAAAATCAAAAATTTTTAAAGTTCATGACAATGCAAAATTTTTCTCTTTAACATTTTGTCTATCAATATACTCCATCGTGTATATGTGATATCTTTGGTATTTCGTCGAGTATTTCAAAAAAATTACAACGTGATCGAGTTACAAGGTATAATTTTTTACTTTCCATTTTCCCTGGATTTTTTTCTGTTTCTTTTTTCCGCTACAGATGACTCCAACTTCGTTCTACATTCTCTCGCTTCTATTTCTTCGTCCTCCCTTCCTTTTGGAATACGCAAGACTGTTTTGAGATCTCGTAGACGCGACTAATCGGCCGCCGACGCCCGACGTCGGTGCCGTCCCACGTGGTAATGCAAATTCGACACGGACGCTATTCCTGTTCTCGGTGTCCATGCTTTTTTCATTTTCCGCCGTCCGATCCGCGTGCACACGATTCAAAAATACCTAGTCTTATCGCCGTTCATCGAATTACCTCGTATACCTCGCTCCCGATCACGGTGTCGGTTTCGCAAAATTTGAAAAGAAAAAAAAAAAAGAAAAAATACTAGGAGGCGTAATACAAATTCACAAGTAGCAATCGGTAGCCGTTGGTAATGCTAGGTTGCGACGGGATGGTATTACCGCTTCTTGCCAGGAAGGCCGTTTAGCCTCCAACTGGTAATTTAAGATTAATTCCCGATCGGCGACCTGTCGACGATTTTTCATTTGCTCCTCTCGGCCCGATTACTGACCCGGAATCTTATATTTTTATTATAATCATTATTATCGTGCAACTCCAGTCCCGCCCCACGTGTAATTGCACATTCAAAATTTCATAGTACCAGTTGGTATTCGATGAACAAAATTAAAGAGAAAAAAAAACCCCAACTGTAACATAGACGGGCGACGCCATGGCGTCGGCGTCGGAACAAAGACTGCGGTATTGTTTTCCATTTCAATTTGCTTGGTCAAAAAATCATTTTTTTTTCGTACCCCTCCATCCGACCCCTCGTCAGTCCCATGCACGCCACGTCGCTACCTTTCGGGCCCCGACACCTTTTTTTCCTCTCCCTCCCCTCCCCCGCCGCCGCACCCCCTCCTTATTCTTTGTTTCTCCTTCTCTCTCCATTTCTCACTCAATCTGGACCCAAACGCCGGCAGCCCTATCGACTTACGTAGAGTTCGACGGGGGCCCCCTTTCATCTTTGCCGATCGACCTCCTTTAAACGATCGGCCCGATGACCTCTCTTGGGTACACATTTCATTTGTCTTCTAAGACTCTTTGAAAAACCGACCCCCACCAACCCTCGCCAGCCAACTGCAGGGAGGAAGAAAAAAAAAGGCCCAAAATTCTTCGAAAAACGTGGATCTCTACCGAAATAAATTTATAATGGCAAATTCACCAGATTAAGATTGAGACTCGATTGGTCGTGTGTTAGGAAAAAAAAAAAAAAAAAAAAATTGATATTCAAAATATATCGAACACCCGTCACTTCGGGTTGACGTTTACTCGCGTAGAGGGGTTTTTTAAAAAAAAAAAAAAAGGCCCAAATCTTCGACAGAAATTGCTATTTAACGTGTACACAAAAATGGATCGTTGTATGCGCACGTAGAGAGCGGCGAGAAAATTACAGAGTTGGGACCCATCGGGGCCCGACCTCGCTTGGCTACCGTAGCCGGTTCTCTTGTATACCGGTAATTTCGGGCCCCCGAGAAAATACGACTGATTAATTCGAGCTTTTAATTTATTCGTTCGCCGATTTAAGATCGGCATAAGCGTACACTACGATCTTACGAGTGTTTCTAGGTGGTCTGATTTTTTGCCCCAGTCATCGGCCGCGTGTGCCACGCGAAACGCGAATACGCGGAGAGATCGATCGAACAACCACATATTTTTTGCTCTCCCGATTTATTCGCAATCGTCCAATCTGATAAAAAGAAAATTTTTGTTTTTTCTACAATTTCAAAAGAATATTTATTTCCCGTTACACGGGGGGGGG